ATAACTTCACCATAAGTCATGCTTACTAATTTCATCTGACAGATGAACAAGACACGTATGTTGATAATTCTAGTATTTTTAGCCCTCTTGTACCATTGAAACAGGTCTAAATCACCCTAGCAGTGCTCTTGATAGAGTCAGTCTTTTTCACGTTACTTGGATCATAAACATTAAGGGAATGTGTGAGCCATCTTTAGTGCATGCGTAAACAGACTCTTATCCAAACTGTACCCTTATCTGGGTATATTGATATTTATGAGCAGTTAAACAGCAAGGAGCAATTTAACAACATCCATCACTTTTATCTGGATATTACTATCCATATGGATATCCATTCATATGCAGTGCAGAAGCCTAAAATGCATCTGATTTCATTATGCAGTATTATATCTCCTGCTGAGCTCTCTATTCCCATTGCCATCAGACTGGTTTCTCCTACTGAGCTCTTTCTTTACCCAGCACTTAGGGACTGATGTTTCCCATCTATGTCTCTCTACCCACTACTCGATAGATGACCTCTCCTCTCTTTTGATAAAAGTATTGACCTCTTCCAGGCCAATTCCACATGTTTATTGTACAAGGGGGTGATTTTCCTCTAGTTTGGTCAAAGACAAAAATACTAGTTTGGGCAAAAATATGCAGAATGTCATTCTGTGGTGTGAGGATATCAAAGGAATGAAAATCTATGACAAGAAGTAAGCACAATTCCTTATAGCCCTTGGGTATGACAATTACATTTATAGCTTACTGTCCCAGCGACTACCGCTTGACGTCCCCATAACCTGACAGAAGACAGAGAGGTCAATGCTGACATCTGCTGGTCGTAAGAAGAATGCTGTAACGCGAGTATAGTTACCTGTTCAAAGGCAATATCCGCGGAAGGATCACCTCACAGGAACACAATGCCAACCATAAAATGACCATTAAATCATTAAAACAACTCCATCTTGAAAACCATTACATAAATGACAATTTGTTATTTTTATTTTATTATTAAAGCTGTTTATTGTATGAACTGAGGATGGATGGATGGATGATGGATGGATGGATGGGTATTCTCAAGCATGCAAGCAAACCTAATTAGCAACCCCTTTCATAAAGTATGGGTAGTGGTAAGTAACATAACAATCCCTGAAGCATATAAACATGGTAAACATGTTTGGCGCATATATTTTGACTACAAATACAACAAATTTGCAAAAGCACGTAAACCACACTATAATCCCGTTTTAAAGGGAAATGCACCTTATGTACAATCATGGCCAAAACTATTGGCACTCCTGGAATTTTTCCAGAAAATGCACCATTTTGCCCAGAAAATTGTATCAATTACAAATGTTTTGGTATACACATGTTTATTTCCTTTACGTGCATTGGAACAGTACAAAAAAACTGAGAACAAAAAACAAATTTGGCATAATTTCACACAAAACTCAAAAACTGGGCTGGATTATTATTGGCACCCTCAACTTAATATTTGGTTGCACACCCTTTGGAAAAAATAACTGAAATCAATCGCTTCCTATAACCATCAACAAGCTTGTTATACCTCTCAACTGGAATTTTCAACCACTCTTCTTTTGCAAACTGCTCAAGGTCTCTCAGATTTGAAGGGTGCCTTCTCCCAACAGCAATTTTGAGATCTCTCCACAAGTGTTCAATCGGATTTAGATCCAGACTCATTGCTGACCACTTCAGAACTCTCCAGCGCTTTGTCTTCAACCATTTCTGGGAGCTTTTAGAGGTATGTTTGGGGTCATTGTCCTGCTGGAACACCCCATGACCTCTGACGCAGACCCAGCTTTCTGACACTGGGCCCTACATTGCGCCCCAAAATCTTTTGGTAGTCTTCAGATTTCATGATGCCTTGCACACAGTCAAGGCCTCCAGTGCCAGAGGCAGCAAAACATCCCCAAAATATCTTAGAACCTCCACCATGTTTGACTGTAGGTACCGTGTTCTTTTCTTCGTAGGCCTCATTCCACTTTCTGCAAACAGTAGAATGATGAGCTTTACCAAAAAGCTCTACCTTGGTCTCATCTGTCCACAAGACGTTCTCCCAGAAGGATTCTGGCTTCCTCAAGTACATTCTGGCAAACTCCAGTCTGGCTTTTTTATGTTTTTGTGTCAGCAGTGGGGTCCTCCTGGGTCTCCTGCCATAGTGTTTCATTTCGTTCAGATGTTGATGGATAGTTCATGCTGACACTGTTGCACCCTGAGTCTGCAGAACAGCTTAGAAGTTGATTGGGGCTGTTTATCCACCATTCAGACTATCCTTCGTTGCAGTCTTTTATCAGTTTTTGTCTTCCGTCCACGTCCAGGGAGATTAGCTACAGTGCCATGTGTTGTGAACTTCTTGGTTATGTTGCGCACAGTGGACAAAGGAACATGAAAATCTCTGGAGATGGATTTGTTGTCTTGAGATTGTTGATATTTTTCCCGAATTTTTGTTCTCAAGTCCTCAGACAATTCTCTGCTCTTCTTTCTGTTCTCCATGCTTAGTGTGGCACACACAGACACAACATTGCCAGCACCTGTTTCTTGCCACATTCATATGCTTGAAATAAAATGATTTACCCATAATTTTGAAAAGGTGCCAATAATTTTGTCTGGCCCATTTTTGGATTTCTGTGTGAAATTATGTCAAATTTGGCTTTTTTCTCTGTTTTTTTTTTGTGTTGATCCAATGCATATAAAGGAAATAATCATGTGTATACCAAAACATTTGTAATTGTAACAATTTTCTGTGAGAAATGGTGCATTTTCTGGAAAACTTCTAGGGGTGCCGATAATTTCAGCCATGACTGTATACGTATTATATAACGTTATAAAAAAAAACTGCATGTTAGTCTACATATCCCTTACTAAAGTCATCATACAGTACACAGAACGACAACCGATTTTCTTAATAATTCACATTTATGCCTTTATGTTAAATCAATTAATTGAATTGTAGTCTATGATTTTTGTACGAGAGTAGAACAGATGCAAATTTTTCTGTAATATAATTGTTTTCTCCTCTGTGACGCCTCATTATCCAAATTAAGTACTCCGATCACTAATTATTCTGATATGCAAATTTGTGGATCAACCAACATAACTCTCAAATACACCACTCTTACATGCGTCATTATTATATGCTACTTAAAAGTTTCATGGTAAATTCAAGCAGCTTACCCACCGAAGCTAGGCCTATTTAGGCCTATTTAATTATCACCAGCTGAATGATGACTTCACTGTCTGTGGTTCATCAGGATAAACAGTTGTTTTTATTGATTAAAAAAAACAATATATGCCTCGGTCATTCGAAAGATATTTGTGCAGCTATGTGAAAAGCTTGTGTACAGACATCACGGTGCGTCAGGCAAGCACACCGAAAGGGCAAAGGATGACAAGCAGTTTATCAAAGAGAGCAGATAGATGCAGGTGGCCATGTGAGGTTGAACATGTGACCTTATTGTGTCAATCAGCATGTTGGATCACACTGAATAACAAAGTGAGATCAGTAACGTACTGATTCACACAGCAAAAACAGCAGCATGGAGAATACATCAATAAAATACTGAACTGCACAATAAAATGAGTAACGTCCTAAATAATCAAAATCAATAAGCCTAACATCGCCTGTAATGATATTATGTGATTACCGGGAAACATCATTATAAAAATCATTACAGTAATGACTCGCACAGTAAAATCAACAACGTAGCTCACCAAAGCACAAAATCAGTATCGTACTGCCCATCATATGATAAGTGTATATGACATTAAGATCTGAATATTCAGTTCTGTTAACTGCCACATAACTAGGTTGGTGGTGTGGTGTGGACAGGTGTGGACAGGAGTCCAGCGTGTCCTGGGTCTTCCCCGGGGCCTCCTCCCAGTGGGACATGCCCAGAATACCTCACCAGGGAGGCGTCCAGGAGGCATCCTGACCAGATGCCCGAGCCAGCTCATCTGGCTCCTCTTGATGCGGAGGAGCAGCGGCTCTACTCTGAGTCCCTCCCGAATGACCGAGCTTCTCACCCTATCTCTTATCATGGTGGAGGGGTTTGCGTGTTCCAATGATCCCAGGAGCTAAGTTGCCCGGGGCTTTATGCCCCTGGTAGGGTCACCCAAGGCAAACAGGTCTTGGGTGAGGAACCAGACGAAGTGCGGCTCACGAGACCCCTTATGATGAGTAAAAACATAGATTTGCGTTTTCCCTCGCCCAGACACGGGTCACCACCCCCCTCTGGAGCCAGGCTTGGGGGTGCGGCTCGATGGCGAGCACCTGGTGGCCAGGCCTGCACCCGTGGGGCCTGGTCGGGCACAGCCCGAAGGAGGCACGTGGGTCCCCCCTCCAATGGGCTCACCACCTGTAGGAGGGGCCAAAGGGGTCGGGTGCAGTGTGAGTTGGGCAGTGGCCAAAGGTGGGGACCTTGGCGGTCCGATCCTCGGCTGTAGAAGCTAGCTCTAGGGACATGGGATGTCACATATGTTATGTAAATTTTACAAGCGCCTAATACAGTGGCACACTTACACCGCAAAAGTTCCTGGTTTGATTCCCATAGCCAACAGGGAACCTTCTGGCTTAAGTTCACGTGTCATTCTTACTATATAATGTTATTCTGTATTATTTGATCTCCATAAAATATTTTCAAGCACATCCTTGTGAAATGCTCTGCACAAATAACGGTATATTGTCTTTGCTTTTTACTAATAAACTTTCAAAGTAGACTGTGACTAAACAAAATATAAAAATATCTTCCTGTTCATATTATTTTAATGGATTTGTTTTTTCAGTTTCAGTCATTGCATTTCATGTTTGACCTTTGAAATATGGGTACGCTTTTACTTTAATTATTTTGGAATTAATTGGAATGCAGAGACGTGATTGTATAGGCTTTATTATATTTATTACATGACATGAGTAGTGAGAGCGCGGAATTTCGTCCGATGGAACGATCTTTGGGGAATCTGTTCCCACACGTCGGACGTTCTTTGAAACAACGCTTGAAACAAAGCGAGACAGTGAACCTGGTCTGGAGTAGACTTGTTAATTCGCTTAATTTACCATGGTAGCTCAGCAGGGATTCATTTAAGACACGTTGATGAAACGGAACTCCCAATTAAATAAGCTTGACTTGTCGAAATAAGTCAGAGTTTCCCTTAATCCTGCTTCGTGTAACACCCCCCTGGCCACATTATTAATTAAATCCCCAAAACACGTGTCCCATACCTGAGGTTTCGCATTATTGCCGGAAGGTGTCGCTGTCGCCGGCTCCCACCACTTGGGTTTCTCCTCCATTTACCATAGGTAGGGGTTGATTAAAGTGAGGATCAGGGCTTGAATGACTTGTGAGCGCGGCGGAGCCATGGCGGACACGATGGGTGGAGAGGACCGTAGCGTCGATCGTGGCCTGGGTAACATTACGCGAGCTATTGCTGCCTGGTCAATTTCGCAATACGCAAAAGTTTTGCTTTCTTTTTGTACTGTCTATTATACAGACCGTTATGTTCGATAAAAGATTGGTTAGTATGTAGTTTTAGGTCAGCTGCGGTCGGATAGTAAAATATTACAAGAATTCCGAGTACAAGTAACCAAGTTGTACTGATAATTTTGAAGCAACATAGGGCAGAAGCACACGCAATTGTGGTACCGGGGATTTCACTTCAAACGGACCTCCAGCAGTCATGCAATATGTGCCCTTTCAGACGATGAAGAAGAGCTGGCAGATGATGAAGGCAGAGATGCAGAGATGCCGAACATCAGCTTTGACCCCAGTCTGCCCATGTCCCATGCGGTAAGGGTGCTTTTCATTTCCAGTTTCAATCGTGCTTCTTTTGGCATGGAAATGAGCAGCTGCATTAGCAAAGCAACCTGTGCTATCAAAGAACAAAGATCCCATTCTGTTACCACAATAGTTAATACAACACAAAGTGCATGAGAAGGACAAAAACAAGTACAAAAACAGATATCAATACACACAGTGGTAGATAGCTCAGGTCCAGAAAGTAAAAATCCAGACCAAGATTTTGTTTCAACCAATCAGTTGAGCATTCAGTGTCTTTATGCTCAACTGGTTAGTTGAAAGAAAACCTTGGCCTGGATTTTTACTCTCTGAACCTGAACTGGCCACCTCTAGATGCATAAATAAATTTATTAAAACAGTCCTGAAGCCTTGAAAACCGTAACTTGAAATTATTCTCTAGTTGGGGAAAAAAAGGCTTGGTGGTTTGGAAAATCTGGAGAATCAGAGAACACGATGGTGACAGTCCTGCCCTCTGTCTAAATGGGAGTGGGCTGTGAGAGGCAGGCAGCGCAGTGCATAATAGGCTCCAGGAGGTCTGAGCTAAGTAACAACCTAAAGGTGTCTGTGATACATGATGTTAAAACACCAGCCTGTAATCCTTAGGGGCACTAAGTCGCCCCTCCTTAGGTATTGGTGCTATGTGTGGTGTGGGGGGTGGAATAGGCAGCAGGGGGCCGACCGGGCCGTGAGCTGGGGGTGCTGTGGAAGGGCTGCATAGGCACATCAGTGTTAGATGTGTTGGAGAACAAATTTAACACTCTGGCCGTCGCTCCCTCCACCGCCTGATTGCTCTTCTGCTTGTAACCTGTGATTTTCTTCACTTCCTCCATGAGTTACTCTCCTGCAGCTTGTGCTCCAGTTTATCCCTCCGATGGCATTTTCCCCTCGCTAAGCTGCCTTTTCAGCTCTGCCTGCCTGTGCACCTGTAATCTCCTCCTCATGTCCAGACCTGATGTCCTTTTCTTTTTATCCAGAGGGTCCCTCAAGTCTTCCAGGAGCCATGGATTGTTACTCTTGCACTCTGTTTTGTGGGGATTGTAATGTCCACACAGAAATCGATATAATGACAGTGGCTACATCCCTCTGTGGGCTTAGGTCTCACAAAACCTATTTGGTTTATGTGTGTATATATAAATTATATATATATATATATATATTTCATTAATGCTATCAAAATTTAATCAGTGGTATTAGTAAAACATAGTTGGGATAAATTTCTCATTTTATTATATTGGGTGTCCAATGCTAATTTTGGCCTTACCGTGAACCATCTGCCTGAATGCCCAGGGTGGATGTTTATCTTAACCAACAAGGATTTGCTTGGTTTCTCCCTGCAGTACCTGGGTATGGACATGGAGGAGTTCCACGGGAGCACAGTGCACAACGAGGGTAGCTGTCTAACCATTCCGGTGCTGCCGCGGGCCGTGTTGATGCTGATCCCAGGTCAGACCCTGCCCCTGCAGCTCTTCCGGCCGCTTGAGATCAGCATGATGCGTGCCCTGATCCAGCAGGACCGCACCTTTGCAGTGCGGGCGTACAGGTGGGCACACTATCACCCCCTACTGTCCAGGGCATGTATTTACGCTTAGATTACATGCTGGTACAGGCAGAAATGTAGGTCACTGGACGTCCACGCATTCTGCAGCATAAGCGTCCCCTTTAACTCTGTTGGCTTAGTGAGGCGGGTGAGCACTGGGCCGACTTTGGCACGACAGCGGAAATCTACGCCTACCGAGACGAGCGGAGATTAGGCATGGAGACTGTCAAGGTGAAGGCTGTGGGCCGGCAGAGGTTCAAGGTGATTGAAGTTCAGACCCAAGAAGACGGGTGAGTGGAGCTTTGCAGCCTGTGGGGAGGGACTTGGCGTTTCTGCTGCCTGTTGTCACACCAAACATCACCCCAAAAAAGAACAACCTACTGGCACGCAATGTCAGTCTTGCCTGACATTCATAAAGTAATGCTGCAATATGCTGCATGCTGCAATATGCTGCATGATGGCTCCTCTCTCTGTCTTTGGACGTATCCGAACGGAAATATCATGCTCCTGAGCCCAGAAGCTTTCACAACAAGCTTTCAGTATGAATTACTACCGATCTGCGTGGTCTAAAAAAATTATTTGAGATAAATATAACTGTGTTTGTCTGTGAGCTGGTGAGTGTGATGTTCTGCAGCCTTACAGTTGAAAGTATTTTTGAAAGTGAAGTTCAAATGTGTGTAGAAAATAAGGAATGTTTAAGTTAATGTAAAACTGTTTGTCACAGGGAGAGGATTTTGTTTCCCAGTGAGGAATCATAAGGTTGGGTTAGTCTCCAATTATGTCGCAGTGGCAGGTGCTGCGATATAAAGAAAATGTAAAAAGAATTCGGACCAGCTTGACTTCTGCCAGTGAAACGGGACCTTCCAAGGCTTCGGTGTCACTGCCAACAGTGCTGTGATGCTTCCAGAAGCGAAGCATCTGCTTTTATGTATCTATAACGAACCTCTGTGCTATACACTGTTCTCTGAAGGCTGTCGAGCTACTGTCAAAGTAAACAGAGATCCCATTTCAGCCTATTTTTCATTAGACCGGATCCCTGTCAGATTATCATTAATACTTGACTCAACCTGTTTTTTATGTATTTTAAATGCGTGAGAAGTCATGATTGGTGGCAGGTAGAAACAATTGATGAGTTATCCACTTGGGGGGGACCTTGGTACCAGAGAACTGCTCTCCGTTTACTGTGTGCTCTCTCATTTCTGTATTGTTTATTCTGGGATGTCCAGACCCTACAGTCAGCATAACTGCTACTTTTTTTTTTGCTTTCGATTTAATTTTCACTCATGACGTGTAATCTCTGAAATCCAGTCTGTGCTTCCTGACATACAGTAAGCAGTCGCTGGTTTATTCCTGAAGGTTTAGCTTTTCTTGTTTTTATAAACAGTTACTTGAACCACGTTTGTGAATGATGAAAAAGGCAGCCACAGGAATGTCCCTGATGTATTGAATAGGCAGAATATAATAAAAAAAAAACTTTTCACACTCAGCATATTGTGCCATAATCCTAAAGCTCCCCATATTTTCAAGCAATGAAATGAATGATGTTTAAAATTATTCTTCAGACTATTCTGAAGGTCTCTCTTGGAAGCCATATACATATAAGAAGTAGACATTGTTTTGTAAATCCTATGAAGAATATGGTCAGTGCATGAAGGGGGGATAATGGGTGCCGGTTCTCCCCTTGCTGTTCAGTACCAGTGGATACCGAGAGGTGCCAGTACTCTAAAGAGAAAAACAGAGGTGCTGGTACTGTGTACTGGTGAGTACTGGCCCACTTCAAGTACTGACTTGATCATTGTCATGAAAACAGTTCTACATTAGCATTGATTCATCCTTAAGTATCTTGTGCAGTGTCTTTTGGGTAAAATTTGTATTATTTAAAAATAATTTTAATTATGTGTTGTGCACAATTTATAATCTTGATGTCTTCCCCGGAGTGGGATACCTTATCGGCACAGGTCACAAAGTGTTAAATATGTGATCTCCGCAGTGGTTGAGTTTGTCAGGCAGCTGTTTATATAGCCACGTATTTAACTGCTCCTCAGACCGAATTACTGAATTCCATAAGATTCTTATCACCAACTGCAGCAGTTGAGTCTACTGTCCATACAAGGCAGTCCCCCATGAGAACAGGCTCCTTCTATGACTCAACCTCCATGTGTCCTTTCCTATCTGAGCCCATCGATCTCTGGCTACATAGGGATCCCAAATGCTGACATCCTCAAACCCAACTTATTTACGTGAATATGGGCAAAAAAAGACAGACGTCCATGTGGCTAGGGTTTGGCTTTGTATTAAACACTTTGCATTAGAAACAGAGAAACGTGCTGTGGTTTTACTGAAATGCAGTTCTTGCATTTAGATTCCAAAGGAAGCTATTCTGTTCTGTTCAGGGTCTGTCCCTGTCATGTCCTCATTTGGCCTGCAGATGTCACTGGCCATCCCACTTTTTTTCCCTTGGTTCCTTAGTTTTAGGTAATTGGTGAATTATTTACACTTGTCTCTCGTCTGTTGTTCATTGTCTGTGTTTATACTATGGCTTTGCTAAATGCCGTTTTCTTCTTGTTCCAGAGATGCCATGTGGGGATTGATTATTTTTGAGAAACTGCACAGGTAGTTCCAGCAGCCTAATAACAATTCTATATTAATGCGTTTTATTAAACATATTCATAAAACGAGTGTGGCTTTTTACTCATAAATAAGCAGTCACTCTTATCAGCATAATTTTCCTTGGTTTTCGAAAGGCAAGTGTCTGTCTGTTGACAGTTTCTATGGTAACATAAGACTTGCCGCTTTCATTGAGTAGCCTGACCAGACCTTCCATCCTTATAGGGACTATATTTTTAAGAGGACATTGGAACATTATTAAATGCTAATTGAAATAATTTTCTACAGCATAATTAAATTAGGGTAGTATATTGTATTATTTTTTGTTCGGTCAGGTTTGTCCCGTTTTGCTTCGAGCCATGTTATACCAGGTTGTCATTGATTATTTTCATATAACTGCACACCTCGTCGTGATTTATCCCTTACATACTGTATGTACCTACTCCTGCCCAGTTTCTCTGTTTTGTTTCGGTCATTGTAAATATGCATTAGTCCCTGCTCCCTTTTAGTCCTCTTCAGGATAGTTCTTGTTCCTTTTTGTTTCTCCTCCCTGCCTGTTTTTTCTGACCCCTCATGGACCTTTTGCTTCTGCTTGAGTGTTTGTTTAGTTTTTGAAATAAAGTCCCCTTCGCTGTCGGAAAGCTGCTTCATGGATCGTCCCCCTTCTCCGCGTCCTGTCGCGGCAGTTAATTCCATTGAGGAAGAAAAGTCATAGATATCACGATGTTTATAGTTTGAGCTGTATGCTTTGTTTGGCACTTTGGATGAAATGACCATGACTGCCGATCCCTCTCGGTGCATGCCGTTCTCCTGTGAATGCTGAAATGCTTCGTTACATGCTGAATACCCACATTCTCCATGCCAGATGTGGGAATATGTTGCCCCTGGTGCCTTTATGAACAGCGAAGGGTTGAAGAAATGGAGCGAATGATGGCTGTGTGGCCCATTAGTGGATCAGCAGGCTTTCCTTGTCAAATGCTCGACAGAATATGTTGGTTTCATGGTTACAGCTGAAGACCTTGAGACTGGGAGAAGTCTGCAGCCACCATCTAAGCCATGAATTTATATCGTCAGATCTTTCTCTCACTTTACATTTAGAGAGGCTTGGGTTACCATTGAAGGTGGGTGCAGTGCTGAAGGGTTCTGGGTTAATGTTCTGGAGGTTTTGCATGGAAAAGTGCTCATACAGTGTTTGATCGTGGTGTTTGTAGTTTTATTTGATGGTCCACAGTTCAAAGAAGTTTTCGGTTCAGCTGCTGCCTTGTTTTCTGTTTTGTTACAGCATCCAGCAGGCTAAGGTCCAGATCCTCCCTGAGTATTTCCTTCCGGACCCCCTGAGTCTGCCTCAGTTGTCGCCCTGTATCCAGCTCTGCATTCCGACCACCTCCAAACTCCCAGTCACACATGGTCAGCGATCGTGGGACCGGAAGGTACGGTGTCCCTGCAGCCTGATCTGCAGTTTCAGGAACTCATTGATAAATTTAAGTATTAAACAGACAACCTTCTATGATTTGACCCAGTAGCACAATATTTCTCGACCCAATCCTTGGGAACCCCAGGTGTGACCACATGTATAGGTACAGTATGTAGGATATTGATTGATCAATAAAAGGTTTTACATCATTAAAAACTGCATGTTGTTGTATATGTTGGTGCTTCGGGGTGAAACTTTCAAATTTTGCATTGTACTTTGCCTGAATCTCCTGCATATTTCTATAAGTACCGAATGTGCATTTCAGAGGAAGTTCTTCTCTGCCGGTGTGATGCCCTTCCCTGCCTGGGTGTACACGCTCTACGACGCTGTAAGTACAGCACATGTTTACTCAGCCATGTCTCAAAGCTGTGCTGCAGAGTAAGCAGGAAACTGGTCTCCTTTTGCACGAGTCAGATACCTCATCTCAATTCTGCTTCATACCTCTCTCATCTCTCGCCTGTTTGCTGAAGAGATCTGCTCACTTGGGATCTGACTCATTAATGCAGGGATGCTGTGAGTGATGGAGGGTTTGCTTTATTGATTGGCATCGCTGCTCCGAGCTGATCTGTCTGCTCATGGACGAGAGGAGAGTAGAATGCTGATAGTCAGTCTCTGTGTCACACCAGCAGTGCAGAATGAGCTGGAATTTTTGTTTTTGACTTCTACTTCACTCTGGTCACAGAGCCAAGTGTATTTATGATCCTAATAAATATGGTTTGTGTAAGAGTAAACAAGCTAATATATGGCTCACTAGTAAGCATCTACTGTATGTGCTCTTGATACACATCTCTTAAGTAACTTGATAGCTGCAATCTTGTTTATTCATAATTTTTATTTATTGTGGTTATATGTTTCAAATCAGTCTGTATGTGTGTGAATTTCACAATACCAGCCAGAAGTCTGGACACACATATTGAAAATCTTTTTTTTTTTTTCAACAAAATTATTATCCTAAGCACACCTCAAGGTTAGGTAGTAGGTATTTTAAAAAAGTTGAAAACTCCTCTTGGTTGTTGCAGTATGTGATATGCGTTACTTCATTGTCTCAAGCCCTTTTAGTATAAAGTGAATAGTATAGAAAAAATAGAGACAAATGCATTAAAGGCAGGCATGTTAAGACTTTTGACTGGTACTGCATATACACACACATCAAGAACAAAAACACAGCATGAAAATGAACTTCATGAATTACAAATGCAACTCCAAAGCGGAAGCATACTGGGTTGAGTGGCAATTAGCAGTATATGGTGTGTTAAGCTGTTATGCAAAGCAGTTTGTTAGAGTTAATTCTTTCATGGTGATATTCATGAATAATAATGCTCCATCACATGCTCCAGGAGACAGAAAAAGTGCTTGATGTAAGTGGACTTCAAAAATGCCCATCTGATGGCCAACATCTTTTTCCAGTTTGAATCCCATTAAGACACTATGGAGCACTTGCAAGAAATTCATGCCACTGGAATGGGGTGCTACACTATATGGACAAAGTATTGGGGCGCATCCCTTAATCACTGAATTCAGGTGTTTTATTCAGACCCATTGTATAAAATCAAGCACCTAGCCATGCAGTCAGGTTAACAGACATTTGTGAAATTGGTTGTTCTAATAAGCTCAGTGAATTCAAGTGTGGTGCTGTCATAGGATGCCGCCTTTGCAATAAGTCAGTTTGTAAAATTTCATCCCTACTAGATATTCCCTGGTCAACTGAAAGTGATATTACTGTAACATGGAAGCATTTAGGAACAACAGAAACTCAGCCACAAGGTGGGAGACCACGTAAAATAACAGAGCAGGGTCACTGAGTGCTGAGGTGCGTAGTGCGAAAGTCGCCCTCACTCTGATTCATTAACTGCAGAGTTCCAAACTTCCTCTGGCATTAACTCCAGCACAAAAACTATGTGCCAAGAACATCATGGAATGGTCTTCCATGGCTGAGCAGCTGCCTGCAAGCCTCACATCACCAAGCGTAATGCCAAGTGTCAGATGGAGTGGTGTAAAGCAGACTGCCACTGGACTATGGAGCAGTGGAAACTTGTTTTGTGGAGTGATGAGTCGCGCTTCTCTGTCTGGCCCTTCGCTTAGCTCCTGCTCTTCAGCCTCGGAACGGCTTCCTCAGCTCCGACGGTATAGGATGCTTAACTCCCATGTGTGGTCCTTTGATTTTCCCTCATGTACACTACTTTACCATGAAATGCGTTATACTCGGAAACAATAAATAAAATAAACAATACAATAAAAATAATAAAAAACAAAAATAAAACTACACACACGGAGCTACTTCCTGCCACACGATATGGCGCAGGTGACCTATGGTTTTGGAATGGGATGTCATAGGCGTTTCAACGTCAGCATGAAGTATTCTCCCCAGAGAAATTGAGAATCGAAAGTCAGTGGTCATCTTGATCACTTATTTGTTCATAATGCAAATTTGGTGTAACTTTTACTCGTATCTACTCACTGCTTTGAGATACTAGGTAATTCAGTTTTGTATGATAGCATAATACTTAATAATTTATAAATGTTGGTTATAAATGAAGGCTGACACTTGGCATAGTTTCAGTCTGGGGTTTTGTCTCACCTTGGTGGCTTTCCTCTTCCACCCCTAGAGTTGGACGTTGTCTGTTTGATGACTTACTGTTTGGCGTGGAGTTGCTGGCCTGCGATGATTCACCTTCTCTTCTTTTCTCCAGGAGGTTCTGATGGACAGACTGAGAAGGCGGCTGCATGAATGGGATGTGAGCCTCAAGGATGATTCCCTCCTCATGAATGCTACAGGTGATGCAGGAGACCATTTCCATTGGCACATCACACGCACTAACTCCCTCTCGTCTGTTTCACTTTCTTTTGCAGTCTCCTTCTCTGTTCCTATAGTTCTCTAGTGGGTCAGCCCCTGCATTTACATCTTCCATGCTTTTTAGGTGAATTTCATAGCAGATTTGAATATTTCTTGTGAGTTAATGGAAAGTGCAGGCATTTCATTTTGTGAGCTGGTATCTCTTGTCTTGTTGGGTTCCTCTGATACCCACTCTCTACTGATGTGACATCATTGCCTCCTGACCCCTCTCTCTCACATGGTCATGTGATTCACAACTTTGGTGCCAAGCTTTTGCCCCCATTTCTCAGATTTATCCTACAGAGTAGCTGCATGTCTGCCGATTGACGACAGCCTTCGCATCCAGCTGCTAAAGATGGGCAGTGCAGTGCAGAGGTTGCACTGTGAGTTGAACATTATGGACCAGGTGAGGAACTTGACTGCATTCCCTCTGATTTGCACCCTAACTTTGAGAAGGCTTTAGGACAAGGGCCATTTCGCTATATTGCAGCCTATATTGTTTCTTCCTGTCCCTTCCAGTGCTCTTCTCTCTGTTGTAAGCAGTGCCAGAACATGGAGATAACGCACAAAAATGAGATTTTTAGGTGAGTGCTTCAATGTTACCCTGCGCTGCTTGTGTTGGAAACAATGCTCCCTGGGGGAAGGGAGTTTGTGGCCCTGTTCACACCGGCAATTAACATGTGTTCTGGGTGACCTGATCTCAAGTGGACACTGCGAAGTATGTCTGTTCAAACCTGTTATTAAAATGCATCTCTGCATGCGTCTTGATCGACCGCTTGTAATCGGATCTCACTTTCCTGCACTTGTTTAAATAAGCACGTAAATCACTTTCATGTGCAGAGGTGAAACGCATTGTTGATTTTTACCGGCAAGAATCAACAGTGTGCTATTAAATTGCATTGCGATGTGTTTACACTTTTTTGACCTTCACAGCAGGGCTCCAGATGGCGACTAAAATGGTCGCCAATGCGACTTGATTTTCTATTTTGCGACTAGTTTTTTCATTCTAGTCGCCGGTGGCGACTCTCCCTCTCAATCTAAGAAAAGTTTTAAAATTAAAGCAGCAGAAACGGCTTTTAATTTTGTGCGGACACTCTCAGCCCGCGTCTACCTTTCCTATAACACTATCACGTGATTAAAA